CTTTACTGCAGTTGCTCCCGGACCAATCTCATTACACAGATGAGAACAGCCCCAAGACCCCCTATTAAGTCGGGTGCTGACATCAGGGCACATCATCTATTGTGGAAATCACAACAGAAGGGGTCACGTTTGGCTTTTAGGGAGTCTTTCTGCCCTCGTAGAAAGAAATTTTCCCGAGTACTGATTTTTCGACCAATATTCCGGGAAAAGTTGATGGGATGGTGGGAAGGTTGTGAAAGAGGGTCGTAGTGACTGAGAAATCGGGGTGGGGTATATATAGGGGGTATATGGTATATGTGGGGTATAATTTCACACAACGCGATGAAGTGCCCTGGCTGAGGTGCCTCCGAGTGCCTTGCGCCAGCCGTATTTTAGAGGAACGATATCCACAGATAACTTAGTTGAGCTAACAATAAGTAAACGCTATCAAAAAGCCATTAATAGCAATCAGGGCACGTCCTACGTTGGAGAATCCTCGCATTTGGCCGTTGGATGGAGGAGATCGTTGATGCGCTATTTAGATCGTTGGGAGATTCAAGTGGGAGAAGGATCGCCCCTCCCCCTTAGTTGGTGGCGTTTAAGAGCTACTACACAACTACTATTTTCGGTAGTTGAAACCAGTAGTTGGTTGGTAACGACCCCCCCCACCCTCCCTCCTCCCTCGACGGCAAAATTTTTGGAAAAAAATCGGAGTGGTGTGTGAGGCTGGGAAAGGTTGGAGGATGGCGAAATGGAGGAGGGTCGTAGTTTCCTGTGAATTAACATGAACAGAATGTTCGTGCTTACCTTACATAGATTGCATTCGACCTCTAATTCTCTACTTGGAAATCATTATGAGCGGAAATAAGAGTGGCGATTGGAGAGACTGACCCTTCCTGCAGAGATTGGCCCTCCTCAGGCTCTTCTTTGATAAGCGACAGATCAGGCACTTTTTTCTTCTGCACGACATTTCTTTCCACAGGGGTTTCTCCAGGATCTGGTGGCTGCACCATCGGAATGTAGCGGAAGTCGCCAATCATTCCACGATTTGGTAGCGATTGCACTGAAGCCGATCTGAACTTCTTATAACTCATTATTACTGGACTGACAGTGCTCAACTTCCAGTTTCTAACCTCGTTAGTTGGTTGATGCTGAAATCAATCGCAGGCCTCATATCGTCAAACTCGACCGAGCGACGGCGTGTCGTGGTAGCTGCTAAAAGGAAATGTTCTCTAATTAGCAATGCTTTGGCGGTAACATTAGCA